AAAAGGGGGGGGTTTTACGCGAAAAAAGAAGCCGAAAATATAGAATAAAAATTTTTTTTAATTTTTCCATCGAGACAACGATCTACAGTGAGATCCGTTATAACGACACGCGATAAAGTGGACGCGTACCGAGCGAAAATTCAAAGTCGATTTTTTCGAAAACAAAGCCTCGAACGAAAAATTTTTATTCTATATTTTCGACTTCCTTTTTCGCGTAGAATTACCCATTTTACGCTTGTACCACCAATTACCAACCACCCTGTATAACTAGAATTCATGTAATGCGAGGAACGTATCATTCAAATGATAACGATGTAGGTACTCAAATAAAAGAAGTTCACATTCGATTAAGCGAATGGAATTAGCACGTCTTTAGTGAAAGTTTCGTTTGAATTAAAATCTAATTTCCTTTTCTTCCAATAAATAAAATTCTATTCTACTTCCTGTTTATTCCAACTTGCTACATTATTCAGTCAATTCATATTTAATATGTTTTACAACACACCCGTTGAATTTTCAGAACGTCCCATTAACAGTTTGAGAATTATAAAACTATATTACTAAGAATTTCATTGGCCGTTCTTTCTACTTAAAATGATTCACTCAAAGAAACCAGAGGCTACGCCTATGCATGCTCATAACGCGTACAATGTCATAATTCGTATCCAGACGATGTGGCGGGTTAAATTGTCGACCGGATAATTCGTCATAGTGTATAATATTTAAAGTAACGCGAGTGCCATTTCCGGTCCCATGTATTCTCAGTATCGATCATCGATCACGTCTATCAGGTCGTGCACGGACGATCTGTGTCGGAGGAAACCGACACGCCCACGCACACTGGCGCAACCGAACAGGTCTTGCCGATCATATCCGCGGTAATGACGGTAAGTGTGCCAAACTTCCGGCAACGATCACCCTCCGTTGCCTCCACTACGTTCTGTTAATTCGACGCGATTGTACTACTGTGTTTATATGTTGCACGCATCAGTCCTGTAGTTTAATTGTACCAGCAATGTATTACAGAAAATTTCAGGACAAATTTATTTTGTTGGGGGACTAGGAAAATGATACTGTAATGATATGGTACAGTAAATAATTTCAATAAGGAATATTTGTTTATATCATAGAATATGGATTATAGCGTATGTGTAATATTACTTAATCCTGTAATATTTTGATGATACTTTTTTGTTAAATTATTAAGAAGTGCTTCTGAAATAGAAACATAATTTTCATTACGTATAATATGTAATTTATGTATTTAAATAGACATAGTAGGTAGGCGATGAGAATGCTGGTATTAAATACATACTTTTCTAGTTTAAAAACCTGATTTGAAGTGTAGAATCATACCAGCCCTACGATATACCAACACTACGACATACCAACCTATATACGATAGGAACGCTACAAGAGAATTTCATCCAAAGCAACGGTATCCGATTACTCCACAAAGTCTTCTTTTCTCTCGAAAAGCTTTCAGCGTTTCCTAATCCTTCGAATTATTTCAGAAACGTAGAACGACTACTATCCATCCTGAAAACGTTCCTCCGCGAAGCAAGTCAAAATGTATCGATCGATCAATTACCAATATGCTAAACCAATAAAAACGGAACGTAACACGAACGAAGCGCTATGACGATGTTTATTTGTTTATTAATAAGTCTGCCCCCAGGATGAGGACAATCGAGGCATGATTATATAAACTCAATAAAAGAGACGCCACGTGCTGGCGTACGGCTCGTACGTAATATCACTTTCACGGTACAAGCTAAATCCGTTGCTGCCCGGTAAATCAATGAACCGAACTTAGGAGTATATGCTTTGGATAAATGTTCGTAACATGTGGGACACACGTTGTTAGTTATTTAGTTCTATTAGACGAGAAAAAGAAGAAGAAAAAAGAAGTGCATACACGGCAGTGCACTTCATTGCTCAATGACAAAAGCTTGTTAGTGAAGCTTCACCGAGCTCCTATTCGTTGGCCTTTTAGGACGACGATACGTCAGCGGCAGAAAGCGAGCAACGTCACCGGAGGTACATTGACATTTTTCGGAGACTATACAAGGTTAATCTCTAATCGACAAAAGAATCGCCCTAATTAACCTTTACATGAATCCTTATAGCTGGATTATGAATATTTATAAATGTATGACAAATTTAAAGATGCTAAAATATATACGTACATACACAATATACAAAAATATTGGAAATATTCAAAGTTCACAAAAATATGAATTTGTATAAATATCTGTAGTTTGATTATAAACGTTCCTTCTTCACCAGGATAGATTTTGGCAATTATTTAATAGGATGGATTAAAAGATGCAGAGGTTCTACCAACAGATACTGAATGGAGTTAGAGATAATTAATATGATATGTATAATGAATGTAAATATACAAAAGATAGGTTTTCGAAAGGACGCCCTATAGATCTATAGTAAATGTTATATACATATTATACATATCAAGTATATTTTATACTTTTATATTTATATTATAGATATCAAGTATATTTTCTACTCAAATAGTTGAATTATTAATAAGTTTTTTGATTTATTCCAAGTCTCTTCTCTTTCTATGAAGAATTTTTCAGGAATTAAGTTACATATTTTTCAAGACATTCTCCATACTCTAGGATGAAAGATAGTTCTACAAAATCATATATAATACTGTGACTTGATTACTTCATTCATAATCGATAATTTTGCAGAGGTTAGTCATGGTAGAACTGTATACAGGATATTAGTCTGTGACAGGCTTCCTCAACAGAGGGTCGAAAGGTCTCCGCAGGAAAATAAAATCATCGACTCCCAACGCTGATGATTTTAAATATCGCTACTGTAAATAACACCGAGCAGGTAGATATGGTCAGTAATGTTTTCTTGGTAAAAAAAAAGCAATGTTTTTTCTCTCACCGGTGCTCAACTTTGGAACTTCAACGAGTTACGCATTCAATATATCGTATACTTGTGTTGGAATCTGTTGGACCATTGAACTGTCTATTAAAAGTGTCATGGTAATCGAATACATGTAAAACAAGCAGATTTATAATTTTACATTTAAATTAAAAACGTGTATTTAACATTTCGAATGTTCGAATTACTTGTAATACCTTTTTGAAACGTACTGGAACATCTTCAGGTCAGATGTAAATTCACCTATGCGTTCAGCTATGTATTTTACCAGACCGTCAGCGAAAGAAAAGGGTAAAAACAGTGAGACTGTGGTAGAAATCGAAGCTGATGAACTGGCTTACACCTAGAATATTCATTCGTTCTTAATCTGCTTACAATTACAGACACTGCACATATTTACCTGAATATTTTTGATCAATTATATTTAACCCATCAGATATAAATTCCTACCTAATATTCCAAATTCTTAATTTATAAAAAGATGATCAAAAATTATAATCTTCAAAATAATCTACTTCATGTTCATTTTTTTCATAAATGACGCAGAATAATGAAAAAACGTAATTATCCTCGAAAAAATATATCGGATCGTATCATATCGATAATACTACGAAAGGCTTCGCATGCGAGAATTATTGTACGATCGTACACAGAAGTCGACCGGGTATTCCCCTTGATTCCATTCCGTGAATACGAGGGACACATTGGTTTAGCGCAATGCGCACGGTTAATTAACTCTGGGCGTTATCGTAACGACATTTCCGAATGTACGAAGAATTGTTTGATTAATGCTCAAGAGTAGCGACAGAGGTAAGTTTTCAAGCCGGTCCTCGTTGTATCAAGAATGTCTCGAGTGCAAGTCGAGTCGGTGTCCCTTCTATATCCCCCTGGCTGCCCTCTCCAGAGGCACAACCCAGCCTGACGACGACGTGCCTGGCTGCCTGACACTCACGATCGATCCTATAGCCGTGCGGACGCCGGCTCCAGCGTTTCGTGTACAAAGGTGAAAATGATTTCCATCGAAAGTCCACCGACTTCGAACATGATTACTATTCTATCTTTTAAGTTAAATATTCAAAACGTGATGTCATTCGATAGAATGTATCCATTTTTCTTCAATATAACAAGTTTCTCTCACGCAAACCGATCGATACTTTTCCAGACGAATACCGAGTGAAGTTGAGCACCATATTTCCGGTAAAGACACGCCGTGAACCGTACAGTTCGTTACGTGTTCTCGATGAAATTAACCGCACAATGAGTCGATCACGAGATGAATCGATTGGTTTTGCGATCGGTGCACTTCGTATGACTGTTAATCAGACATCGAAATTGACAAACCTCACTGAATTCTTCCCTTCTGTGCGTTTAATTCACATCCCTATTCGAGCATCGTGAAACGATTGACGAGATTCACGAGCTACCTCGTACGATAGGTCAGGTTATGCCAGAGAATGGAATAACTCGAATCAGAGGAAACTGGAAAAATATCCTCGACAAAGAACCCTACATAGTATCGAGCCAATTCGTAGGCAGAAAAAACGAACGAAATACGAAGTTGAGGTAATTTTCTCACTCACTTCCTCGCGGCGTATCACTTCCACTTGCAGCCGCTTCTGATACTCTTCACACTCATCCTTGTACTTCTCCATTTCTTCTTTGGTCTGCCTCATCTTCTTCTTGAGCACGTCGAGAAGGGTGCCCTGCACTTGCGTCGACATGCTGCTGGATATTCGCGCGTGTTATCGTCTTCTCACTTGTAAATATCGCGATTACGAGTCTAGTGCGCGGATCGAGGTAATGCTCGAACGATAAATGGAAGAATGGAGGATCTAAGACAGCCGGTGAACACGACGTACGAAGACAAAGTATATCGGGGTACGATAGACAACCGGTACCCGTGCGAGAGAGAGAGTTTCGTAGCCTCCGAGCTGTCGTACACTGACGACCACTGGCTGCTGTTGACTGGAAAGCAAGATGGCCGCCCCCGGTCAGTACGCGCATGCGCGCTACCGTTCTGCGGACGTCAAATAGTCCCTTGCCCTTAACGACGTTTCTCCTACGATATTTTGTGGAAAATTTCCCTTTGATCAAATTGCAATTGACCTCATCGTTTAAATACTTCCTATCTGACCACGCCTATATTTATAAAGAGTCGGTTCATTGATTCAATCGTTATTTTTTTCTTTTCGAGACCGTGTCACAGTATGATGCGCACGCCGAGTATCGCTACGCCAATCGACGTGTCGTCGCGCGCAAAGCCCCGGAAATACCGCGCCCGTCGCGAGCGCGCCCAACCGTTCGAATGGATGGTCGACAACAATTCCTGCGTTGTTTCGCTTCTTCTGCTTTTCATTCGCTGTGAGGGGCATTTCGCATTTATTCTATGCACCAATGATAATTCCAGTACCGACGTAATTTTCCTAAAATTGGTTGTTTTCTATGATCGACGGTTTTACGATGAGTAGGTAGAATGAGATGGATGAGTGACGCGGAAATTTAAATGATAATAGAGATCAGTAATATAACGGTTATGTGACCCCTAGTAATAAATTGTTATTCATTTTGTACGCATTAGAGAGATTTAATAAAGACACAATTATGGACAAATCGAATAACGGATTGTATCATATGGTTTAAGCGCTACCGGAAATAGTAATATATTTTATTATGAAGTTCTAGAGCAAGAGAATTATTGTAATATCATTATATAAGAGTTACGACCGTTAATTGAACATTTTAAATAAATTATGACGTAATTGTTTTATTCAAGAATATAATTTCGGGAAAAATCAAACTAAATGTTATTTGCATCATATTTCTTAATTTGAATTCATGTAGTGTAATTTTAATTAAATATTCAATACATTTTATCTAGTTTGACTGGCTATGCATATTAATTTAATTACTAGTTTGCGTCGCGAAGAATTAATTACAGAATACATCAAACTGCATAGTTAATACTCGTATTATCTCTAATACTCTTCTTTTTATATGTCAGTAGTATTTTTTTACAGAAGAAAGAATAAACAGTTATATATACATTAAAAAGTGACTGCAAAGTATAAATAACACGTTAGAAATATATGATTGTGCATTTATGAAAAACTACCGCAGCTCCATCTCTAATATTCAGTCATTCTACGATAAATTCAAATGGTATGCAAATCCCAGGTTAACATCGAATTAAGAACAATCAACTGAATTCGAATGTAAGTTCGAGAATCCAGAAACTCGTCCATCAGAATTATGCGAAGAATGTAAGTATAGATGGCAGCACATTGATCTGCCGTGAAATCGCAGAGAATGTGACGTGTAAACATCGGCTAAGATAACGGGCTAAAGAAACAGATCTTTGTTTCAAAGGTCGACAATAAAGTATAGAACGCATTTCAAATTCCGGTGCAATATGTTATGAATATTCTGCAACGGTGTTACACATACTCTATATCGTCACCGGCTTATAAAACGCTCATAACGAAGCGGATTTGTGGGAGCGTGTTCCGGGCGCTATGCTTACGCAATGCTCTCTCAGAGTGCCGAATAAAAGAGCTGCTGGATCCGTGTACCAACAGCCACGTATTTTTAGAATGTTGACGAGTGCTATTTATGTTTAACGCGTGTTACCAGTGCAGGGTGGGGTTTGTTTTTGGAAATGTGTTCCAAAAGCATATATTTATACGAAGATATCTTTCATTTGTTGAATTATTTTATCTATTTCGCAAAGATATTGAAAATATTAAAATTTTTTAAAAATCGTCAAGAAACTTCAATTATAATGTCATTTTACAATATATTATTGCATTTGGTCAGGTTAGGTTAGGTTCTTCATGAAACTGAACATAAGCTTCCAAGTTTGGCAATGTTACACTCGTTGTACGAACGCGTCATATTAAATCGAAAGGTGTGGCTTAAACCAAAAACGAATTGGTAAGAACGCCGCATATTATGATGTGCATCGGACGTGATTGTATATAAATAATCGAAAAATTTGAATTACCTGGGCGTACGGTCGCTTGGAGTCGACTAAATAAGAATACCATTTATCATATTGGATGAAAGAATTACGCTTCATCCATTGTCTCCGTTCAGTAACCCTATACAATAAGTATCCTTTGTCGGACGATCGTGCATCGTTAAGTTCTGCAAGAAGTCGCTTGTCGCTAAAAGCGCTACTAATGATTCTCTTAAGTATTATTAAACGCAATAAGTAGTATATCATTTATTTAGTACGCGATAATGCAAAGTGATTTCGATTTTCACTTGGCAACGGCTGGAATTCCGATGTATTAATCGGCCTTTCTCTAATCAGTATTCGTGGCGGTTCGGTAATTTTCCAGAATGGTCGGTAGAAAAGAGCGTGTAATTAAAACGTGAGAAAGAGTAACAAGAGTCGTCAACGTTCCTTTGTAAAACCTTCTCAAGCAACCTACGATTTAATGGTCTGTAACGTCACCGTGGGGTCCGTGGTTAACCACTAGATCACCTAACCTAACTGCGCGCGTATTTTTATCCTGCTCTCAACCATATAAGGTATCGAATTTACGAAGATTACCTCGTTCGACGAAAACGTTGGGTAAGTCGACAGAAAGAAATGCAAAAGAGATGAAGAATTATATACACGGGTGGTATGATATGGTCCGAGAGAGAAAGCAAGATCTTCATTGGTCATGATCTCTTTCCGTTATCAAGGGCTGTATGACCCTCGAGGACCCATTGACCGACGTGACGTCAAACTGCGTCAAGGTTATGTCATATGATGACCTTCACGCAGCACGCTCGTTTACCTACGTACCGGGTGCATCAGTGATGTATCATGCGATACTGACCCGTTTAAGCTGGTTCCCCATAATATTCTGCAATTCGTTCCTTATGAGACCGAATTTCATCATCGTGTCGCTGGAGAATATGGACCATCCGAAAGCTAATCCAGGATAATCGGCGCATCTCTTTCTTCTTCTTGCTTCCCTTTCAGCTTGCACCTCGGTCCTTTCGCTAGGACATCTAAGCTTGGCAAGCTCAGCAAGTTCAGGGTCCTCCTCGACGTTGGTCGACTCGTCGTCAGAGTTCCCGTCACCGCGAGCCCTCGCGACCGCGTGCTCAGGCTCCGGTGAAGTTTCTTTGCTCCTCGTCTCGTTGTCGGACTCGTTTTTGCATATCTCGTTCCCACGTGGCCTTAATCGAGGCTTATCAGTTGATGGTTGTTCCGTCTCGTGGCTGTCACAGCTCTCGTTCTCGTTTCTATCAAGAACAAACTGTTCGCGTCGTTCATTGAGGACATCCAGGCTACACTGCGCGAGCCTGTGTCGGATGTCCTCTCTGTCATCATCTTCGAGCTTGTACGTTATCTTGTTGACGTCTTTTGAGGATACAGCAGTGGCCGTCGGATCTTGGAGCCACCTCGGGCCGACGATCGTGGGTACTGTCACCGCGGTCGAACACTCCGTACCAATGACAGTGCTTTTTTCATCGAGTCTCGATGACGTTGTAGTCGTTGGCGTTTCGTTGTTACCAGTCGGCGTATCTTTAACGATATCAGCAGGGCCACACTGCGCGGGTCCTCTGCTGGAGACATCGATACGTCGACGCGTAGTGTACCGCGGATGATGTTGATGACCGCGACGTCTCGTGGTCGTCGTAAGAGCTGGTTCCATACTATCCAGCTGCTAAACCTTTCACCTAACCCCTTTCTTCCACTATTTATCCTTCTAATGTACTCTACGTACCACTGTTCCTACTACTGCACAAGACACACCGCCATCTTGTCTGTCACTGTTCGTAACACGTTTCTCACCGCGCCACGCATACGTCCTTCTGTCTGTCTCTCTATGTTGCACACACACCACCGTTCCGTACAGGCGAACGCATGCACGAGAGGAGACACGTTGGTCTCTGCTCTCTGCACCGTCCTGGTCTGATTTCTATCTTGCTCTTGCTTTCTCTCTCTCTTTCTCCGTCTATTGCTCTATGCTCGATCCAGGTTACCCCTACCATAAACTACGACACGAAACCGAAGTTTGCCGACCACCGCCGAACAAACGAAGCGGCAGCTTCGCGTACTAATGCTCGACTGTGCGCTCCGTTCGCGGAGAACCTATTCTTTTCTCGTGAAACGCCTGCGCACGATCGCCGCGACATCTGATGGCGCTCGAACGTCATTATTCTGTCGGTAACAACGCGGTGATTGATAAAGACTGGCGGGTTTTCATATTCGAAAACCGGTTGAGTTTATTTTTTAAATGTTTCTTATACGATATTTGTTGTTCTTTCTCCAAGTATCAGTGTACTCAATTATCTAACTTTCTCTTTCTAAATGAAGTAATTTAATATACTGCAAATTGTCCGTGAAAGATTAAAATATATGAAGTTTGAAACTTAAATTTGATAAGAAATTACGATAGAACTACGATGATGGAATATTACGAATAACTTACGTTCTGCAGCGCCTTGTCTTTCTCCTCAAGTTTAGCATTGACCTGCATAAGAGCCTCTTGAGTTTGATCGAGTTCGTTTTCAATGGTCTGGATCTTCTTCTGCAGGGCGCGCGCCTCTTCCTCGGCCTTTGTTGGACAAAAGAATGTTATAAATCAAACAGTTAACACAATAACAGATAATTACACATTTGTTGTGTATATATATGATTATGGCAGAGAAAACAGGTATAGACACTCCAGATCTATAATTAACGTTCTTGAACAGATGCCAATCCTATAACGCATTTTTATCACATTGTGATTATTTCATCGTTATTTTTATTCCCCATTTTAGCAAAGCAGGTAAATAGACATTTTTGGTATTTCTTTTATTACATCAGACTACTTTTTATTCTTAGCTTGTCAGCAGTTATTTCAGGTCCTCCAACTGAAACGCATAATACGCTGAAAATTTGAAACATTTACCTTTTCTGCTCGCGCATTTGCATCACGAGCTTGCTGTTCACAGAGCAACGCGCGATCCATCGCGTTGTCCTTCTCCAGCTTCATTCCCTGCATCTTCTTCTTGATCGCGTCCATGGTGGCGGTTTGGTTTGTTCACTCGTTTACCAGAAAAAAGACAACGTATCTAGAACAGCAACGGACGTCTCCATTATCATCTTAACGTTCTCGAATATGCGATCTCTCCAGCACGTAAACCGTATTCCTTCCCATACGCTTTTATCTTCGATCGGCAAATTGTACTTTTTAATTCTCCCTTGGTCCGTATAACTCGATCGATTCCCAAGGAGAATGATCGAGTTCGCGCGCGTTCATCGTGCCGGAGATTTCAATGACCGTGAGACGAATCAAGATTGCAATTAACCGCAACTTAATTATTTGATCTTTTTCTTTTTTCGTGCAGGTTCTCCTATATATCTCATACCTTTTTGACGACCGTTCTTTTCTATCCTTTTTTTATTTTTCTCTTCCCTCTCGTTTGTTTCAGAAGCTGAAGCGCAAAGTTATCTCTTAAAAACGCGACGCGACGGTAATTACCATAGAAATCGCCGGATCGGCCGCAAATTCGTGCAAGTTCTCGCTATACGGACAGCATGCATCGAAGTATAATTAGCGAACGACCGGATATCCTATTTATAGAGACAGGTTCTTGCTCAAGAAGGCCCGGGCTCTGTACCGTGTCCGTATATATAAAATCAAACGTCTTCGCTGCTCCGGCCGTCTTTCTTCCTCTCTCGTGACGTCAGACATTCAGGTATGCGATCCTCCAGGACGAACCAAGGCGAAACGAGAGGATTCTTCGCGGGCTCGCTGCTTTCGCATTTTATGCGCTCGTTTCACTACACGAGCGAAACCGATGCATCGCGAGGACGAGAGGATACCGATACGGCCAGCAGGACAGAGCCACGAACGGGTTAATTTTCTTCGTGGAAACATTCCAGACATTGTTTCTTCCAGGATCATTCTATCTCTACTGTTTTTTCCATCCTGTTTCGCTTTCAAAATCGAGTTCTTTTGCCGAGAGTGAAATTTTAATCTGGCACGTTAACAGTGAGTGTCACTGTTCGCTCGTTTCTTCTTTATTAAGCTTTTAACGCTAAATTTGGCATTGGAATGAGAAGAAAGCACACGGAGATAGATTATAGAAGATCGAATTTAATTTCTAAGGAAGTAGCGAAACTTTAATCAAGAGTTTACAGTGGATGGTTACTTCCCAATTCTTTTTTCTCTTTTAAGCTTCTAAAGTGAAACTTGATATTGAAATGAGAAGAAAGAAGACAGAGTCAGACTATAGAAAGTTCAGTTTAGTTTCTCAAGCTTGCCGCGTTCTTTGAAATATTTTTAACCAAATCGTATTTTTTTATGCTTTGACAACTTCTAAATTATGAGGAAAGTATTAAGGAATTGTTATCGATACGAGTGATTAGCTGTTGCTGTATAATACATTATTGCGTAATAATTATTTTCTTAAAACATTAATTTCATTAGAGTCTCTTTTTAGGTCGAACCGAGAAAATGATTGAAACGTAAAAGATTTGAGAATCGTAGCAGGGTTAAAGAACTTCTTGGTACTCGTTGAGTCTACGCGTGTATGAATCTCTGCATCCGTATCATTGGTATCTATACGAACGAATGAGCACGATTCCTGGCTCGCCCGTAATCAGAGATGCCGGAGAAGCGAAGAGGGAAGAAAACGAAGTTTCAACCAGTTCAAAGAAGCAGAAATTCTAGACACAATGCTCCGAAGAAACGAACTTCTTCGTGTTATCACTTCTCACCTTTACTCTGTGAAACTTAAATACCTTCGAAATCAAATCGTTGACACCATCATATATTTACCATAATATATCCATAATAAAGTCTTTGCAAAGACGAAATATAAAATTAAAAAAAAAAAGAAAAAAAGAAAAAGAAGATACAATGGGAAAAGATACCTAATCAAAGGTGGGGATCTTTTCTTCCGTTTCTGGTTTTAATGTATAGATTGTGATGAAGTCACATCCCAAGCCTATCGAAAGTCACAGAGTACACAGTCGAAATAGTGATGGATAAAAAATAAGCCCAGCTGCCGGATTGCAATGGAGCTTGTATCAAAGCAGAGGGTTATTTTTACACGCGAGAGGAGAGGGTGGAATCGCTAGTCGCCTGCCGTCGAACCTTTTCGGGTTACGCACAGCCGAGTTTCGTTACTACATTCGGATCGGTGTCTGATTACGCTCGAAAGAAAATTATCCTCCCTACCAGGCCCCCTATCGTAACAATTTCTGACACTTGATGCGGAAATTTTTGCATAATCCACCTACGTCACGATGATGATCGTTCTACATCTTTTTTGGAGCAGATAAGAAATTTGTGTGCGAAAAGAATGCGACCTAGATCGTGACATAGAAATTCGACCTTGTTTAATAAATTTCTTGAATTAAAATTCGATACAAGTTCGATAATGAAGTAATAAATTATCAAATCACTGCAAATACTATGAGTATTCCATGCGATATTACGAATAAATTAGTCTACACTTTTTAATGGGACACTGAAACCTTCTACAGGTTGTTCTATCAATTTCTTCGATCGCCTACACCGAACACCAAAAGCAGAGTATAGTAACGTTTGCACTGGTTCTTTCGAGAATTTGTTATCAGCGAGCGTCCGGAACAACATCGTGACCGCGATCTGCTATCTCGCAGTTAGAAATTCTTGTCTACTCTGGCACAGCAAAGAAATCGGTAGTCTGGGACAATGTTGTCACAGCGGTTACGCGTGAATGCCTGAAACTTTTTATGAGTCACACTTTTTCTGGCAAATACCAACTCAGGCTGCATCCACGATTGACAACGGGTTGCGGGCCTGAACGTTACGAAACGTCCGCCAAAATTTGCATAATAACCGATTGCTTTTTAAAATCGCTCGCATGAACTGCGCATGATAGACGTTGCAATTATCAATTCTCTCTCAACTCAATTGAATCTCTATCGATTAAAAACGTAAGTAGATCAAATATAAGGCGATCCAAGCTTCATTTACCACTTGGTTCAACTCCTTTTCAAGGCAAAATCGTCGTCGACCTGCAAGATCATCCGCCTCTATTCGAAAACTGATTTCTGCCTCCGACAGCGATCGACCCTCTTCACTTTCCTGCGCACGAAAGAAACACGCACGTTCTACTCACGTCACTTTTTTTCTCGCACAACC